CCCAGTGAGGCAGGCGAAATGCCTCCTGCGTGGTGCTGGATGTTGTATGCTCCCCTGGAACACACAATTCATGATCAGCACCTGGCAGGATTAAGCGGTTTGCTTTTTGCAATTTCCTTTGAGCCATGTGCGTGTCCTGGCGCTTTAACCCTTAATGGCAGTTAATGGAACAGCTGGAGTGTCCAGAAAGAGAGAGTTCCCTTCCCCTCCCCTCATCACAGCACAGCACAGAATAGCAACAGGTGAGATCTGGATCGTCCTGTGTCTGTCTCTGAATTGGCGCTAACTTGTTCCCTTATTTCCTTTAGGGATCATAAATGCCATGTTGAAATCTGCAACAGTAGTGACCCCTCTAGCTGGGGGCAGGCAGCTTTCCCTCGGGGCAGATGCCTGACAAAGCGCCGTGCTGGCTTCAGTTGAGTTGACTTGCTGTTCTTCTTTCAAATTGTCTTCCAGTTGCCTTCTTGTCCAAGCCGGAAGGTCTGGTGACTCCAAAGAAAGAAGGGAATGGGATGAAAAGGAGGAAGGGCAAAGGCAAGGGAAAGAAGAGAGACCCATGCCTGCGGAAGTACAAGGACTTCTGTATTCATGGAGAATGCAGATACCTGCGGGAGCTGAGAGCGCCGAGCTGCATGTAAGTTATCAGCGTGTGTCTGTCCTGGGGAAGCCTTAGTCATTGTTCCTTGCATTCTCTAAGCCACACACAGGAAGACGGTCAGAGGTATTTTTAGTGCATCCGCGGAGAGCCCTGCGCATACAGAGCTTGAACCTGCGTCTGCTCTGTGCTCTGCGGACTCGGCGAGCGAGGGAGCTGCCGGCTTGCAGAGCCCTGTGCCAGCTGCCGCTCGGAGGTTACTGTTCTGTGGTCGTGGGCTGGGTGGGTTTGTGCATGGCTCCGGCACCCGGTGACCAGCCCTGGACTCCGCTGAGTCAGGGTCCAGAAGCGGGTCCCCTAGGGCACAACCCTCCGCCTTCCTGGGAATTCCCCAGCCGCAGGCCCGGCCTTGGGGCAAGGCGAGTGAGGCGGTTGCCTTGGGCCCCGCGCTACCCCGATTCCGCCCTCCCGCCCCCCCCTGCTCCCCCGGCCGCTCACTCGCTGCCCTGGGCCCCGCAAACTCTTTAGCCAGGCCTGCCCAGGCATCTGCCTTTGGGGTGCCACACGAAGCTGCGTGGGCCCTGAGCTTAGCCTGCAGGGAGCCCGCATGACACGGCTTCCCTTCGCTGCTGCTGGGCTACTGCAGGGCGCTCGGTCGCCCTTCCCGTCACACCCGCAGAAGTAGGCGCCAACTTCAGGAAGCGGCTTCGGAAGTGCCGCCCCTCCACCGCGACTCCCGCCGGGGCCCGCAGGAGCTGAGATGTTCTGCCGCGCTGAAGAGCAGGCCCTAAGGCAGGGGCTGAGCTCTCCTGCCGGTCTGGCCGTGGATGTCTCCAGTTGGGCACCGAGCACCGGCGGCAGCTCCGCTCAGCGGCTGCTCTCCAACGTGGCTGTCCCGTCTCCGGAGGCTCCTCGAGCTAGCGTGTCCCCAGCGTATTGTGCAGGCAGGGGAGAGGATCAATGAAGAGTCACGGGGAGCTGGAAGGAGCCGCTTGGTCCCTGGCATTGCAGAGTGCCGGCGTATTCTTCCCACACCAACAGCTTCCTCTTGAAGACGTCTTCCGAGCACGAGACTTAACTGCGCTTTCGTTCAGCGTCAGCTTACGCCCTGGCTGGGCCGCCCGACCGGCCAGGCCCACCGGCCGCGGGAACTGAAACGAGAACCCTGGAGAGCACCCGCGGCCGGGAAGGACGTGGCGCTGGCCGGGGGAGATGGGCGAGATGCGCCTGGGCTCTTCCATCTCTGCTGTCGAGGCTTCTCCTGCTTCAGCCCCTCCCTTGGGCACAAGAGCGGCAGGTTCTCCCTCGGCAGCAGAGCGCGCTCCCTTCGGCTTGTCTGGCCCTGGCGATGGGGCGGGTTGTCTCCTGAGGCCGCTTCCTGAGAAGCTCCCTTCAAAGCCGTTGTCCTGGGGCGTCTGGACAGGGGTCGGCT